TTGCCTCGGGATACCTCCTTGAATGGTCTATTCGGCATGTCAGCACCGCAAAGTATGGGAGTGCTCCCAGAGACCGTGGAGGAGGGCCCAGAGATAGAGCTGGAGAGTAACCGTCAGAGGACTGCCGAAGTGGTGTTGTACCATTACGACGTTGATTGTCTGCCTGTAGCCCACCCGAAGACTCTTTTTGTTCTCAAGTGAGTCTTGGTGAAAAGTCGGTAGTTGACTTCAACGTTTTTTAGGTTGTTCCGTCCGGCCGATGATAGTCCGTATGGAGAGGAGTGGGTGATCCAGCGGCGGTACTCTGAGTTCAGGGAGCTCCACCAAGTGCTCCAGTCTCATTTCGTACATGATGTACGGGCGAGGAAGGTGAGAGGGGGTTTCTCTTGGTGGAGGATTCACGATCACACGAGCTTGTGTCTATTGGCGATACGCGCGTTCGATGGAGCCTTCGATTGCTGTTGGATATAGTGACAGTTTGTCAACTAGTATTGAAGTCGTCAAGGGCGAATCTCAGCTAGTTATTGCTGCACAAGCGGACGGTAGCGTTATTGCAGATGGTCGCAGTTTTGATCGAGATCGAATTTTCTTCGAGAGTCTCGTCGGTCTACGTTAATATGATGATACATAGAATCAGCAGGGTTTACACCGAGTTGCTCGAATGAGTGATCGATGTGCCGGTGATTCTCTGTCGGATTGTACGCCAGATTCTCAACGATCTAGCGTTCCCCACGAAAGTGTTGTCCCACCGAGCTGACCTCGAGAAGGCTCAGAATGAGGAACGGAAAGAGATGCTTGGCCTGTGGATAGCGGTAGCAGCTTCTCCTCAGCCTCGGTAGAGTATTACGACTTAGGGCATCATGTCATCCATCGACGTTCTTGGGTGCCCTGCGGTGGAAGACTTCACCAGGCGAGACGATGCTGCTGGTTTGCAAGGCAGCACGTCAGCAGCACAGTGATTAGTCGGACTTTGCTCCAATTTACTGCTCTATTGCTATCATTTTTAATATTATTATAATATCAATTTGACGGAAGCCTATCGAGCTTGCTTCGGCATAGCGGTTTTTATTTCCCCCCGCAGTGATTGCTGCTCTCTTTCCATGGCTGTCACTATATCGACAGACTCTGATGATCCTCATATAGTGTTGGCTGATGCTGTCTGTGTGGAGCTCAAAGACCCGAGTGATTTTGAGGGAAAGTTGGAGAACATGTGGGATGTGTAGGGCTTGAGTCTCTCAAGTCGGACTAGCGTGGTGGAGCTAGATATGATACGTTGATCAAGTTGCCGCCGCCCAGTGAGTCGGAGCCGTACAAGTATTACTACAAGGGCCGAGAGCTGCTGGATGCAGCGAGTAAGGCTGCTCATGAGCTCATTGCTACTAGTGACCGTGTGGAGGTGGAGTGGCATTTGATGGCTATAGACCTTGTGAGTGTATGAACTTGAGTGGAAGCGTGGTGAGGAAAGTCAGGCAATGGGGCGCAACTTGTACTGGTGTGAAGAAGTGCAGCGAGCAGAGGTCAGATTCATGAGGGATCTGAAGCTCGGGCTGTTGGCTCCTCGAAGTAGTGATGGATTTGGAGAGGCGTGTCGAATGTGGCAAAGTTAGGAAAGGAGAAAAAGTATATCTTCGCGATCGTCGATTGCCTACAGCAGCTGGGCAATATATGGCTAGAGCGTGGTGACTGGACAAAGGCGATGAACTTCTTAGTGAGAGCAGCTCACATGTAGGAAGACCGTAGAGGTGCGCATAGGTTGATCGCTTCACTGCAGTCACATAACTGCAGTGGGGGTGAAACTCGGTGATGATGCTCAGTGGGATAACAGTGATTCAGCTACATTGGAGAAGTTGAAGACTCTTACGGTCTATGGACTGGCGAGAGCATACGGGTATGGTGGGAGATTGTGGAGGGTTGATGGTAGCGTTCTTCATGGGGTCAAGTCGTGTATTTATGGTATTATTGGGCCAGATTTGGTATTCAGGGGACTAGGGATGGTAGCATCAGCATCACGGGCATGCTCGATGACCCTGTCGAGGCAGCTGGAGCATAATGTGGATCCTTTAGAGGAAGAGAAAGATGCTCCAGTGAGTTGGTCACAGTAGTCGAGTGACTGAGGTGATGCTCCCTAGTTCAACTACCGAGAGTGGGCTAGGAATGCTATCGGTCTGGCGGACTACTACATTGGCCGTGGGGAGTTCTGGACGGCTGAGTATTTGATGCACGCTGCTCGAGTCATCAGTGTGAGCGGGAAAATGGGATTTGGGGAAATCTGCACATCGTCGACAAGAGAAAAATGAAGACTCTGTGTGTGAAATTTCTGGGGAATTTTTGTTGGTTTTTTCATTGGTTTTAAAATGTAAATGATGTAGTGAGGAAACTCCGGAGCTCAGCTTAGGATTTCGGATATATAACACTTCTCTTGGGAGCTACGAATCTGGCGAACTTAACACCGTGGGGTTTCAACAACATCTTATAATTTTTCTGTCGATGAAATCATTGATATATGATCTACTACTTCCCACATAAGATCTATCGTATAATTGTACTTCCCTGGGAGGGGCTAGTTTCGCCATGTTGGTAGGTTGAATGGCCTGAGAAGCTCGGCGAGGTGAAAAGCGATGAGTTCCTGGCTGAGATATGGCGGGATATAGGCCGCTTTTACCGCACGCGATTGGAGATATCCAAGTTCCATGTCAAGCTGAATGCTGATGAATGCGTAGAATATGAGTTCCTGTTGGGGGGGACCGGATGAGTTCTGTGTTCCCATCAGCTGGCGTTGTGGCGGTCCAACGCTGAAGTGAAGGAGAGCGACGAGGTTAACGAAATCGACCTTGACCTGAAGTGGGAGTGTCTTGCTGATGACCTGGCGAGTCGGGCTGTCGAATGGGACTCCCAGCAGGGGTTTCCGCAGACCGTGTAAGTGATGGAGAAGGTAAGGAGTTATATCGTAATCATCAGGAGTGTGAATGATGGCGCATTACTCCTCGATGAGAGAAGTGCTGTTGCGGAACGTGTCGTGGAAAATGGTGATGATGATAAAATGCTGACTATCCGGTTGGCTGAGGGACTTGTTGTGGAAACAGCGATGTAGGTAACTACAGTGAATGGTTGTTCACGAGGGGAAGCATTGTTCAGAGCGAATCTGTGTGGCCGAATTTTCCGTATTTCGAGGAACATCATTTTGAGATGGTGTTTTCTCGCGTTCATTTTGCGTATTTTTCCAGTGTGGGGGGGAAATATGTCCATGATCAACTACATTCTGAGAAAATTCCGGGAAATTCTTATTGGTTTCTGTACACTTCCACCCGAGTTCGTATATGAACTCCTATAATTAGTGAGGAAACTTCTGAGCTCAGCTGAGGAAAGCGAACATATATTCCTCCAACACTGTATAGGAATCTTCTGAGCTCAGCTGAGGAAAGCGAACATATATTCCTCCAACACTGTATAGGAAAACTCTGAGCTCAGCTGAGGAAAGCGAACATATATTCCTCCAACACTGTATAGGAAAACTCTGAGCTCAGCTGACGAAAGCGAACATATATTCCTCCAACACTTTATAGGAAACTTCTGAGCTCAGCTGAGGGAAGCGAACATATATTCCTCCAACACTGTATAGAAAACTTCTGAGCTCAGCTGAGGAAAGCGAACATATATTCCTGCAACACTGTATAGGAAACTTCAGAGCTCAGCTGAGGAAAGCGAACATATATTCCTGCAACACTGTATAGAAAACTTCTGAGCTCAGCTGAGGAAAGCGACCATGTATTCCTCCAACACCGTCAGATCCTTCCCGAGTATCCACAGCTCTATTGAGAAGGCCATGCAGGTCCATAATAAGGCATTCTTAGAAGCGCACGAAGGGGTTATAGATCATGATAAGTGAGGAAAGCTCTTGATGAGACTTGGTCATCACGTATGTGGTAGGCATCTAACGTTCTGTGCTAAAGACTATGCAACAGCACGAGAGCTCTTTAAAATTGGGCAGTACTTCGACCAGCAGGCTCTCACTGTTTTCGTGTTGGAGGGATATGCCAGCGACCATGTGACCATAGCGCTGACCGATCGAGTCTGTGATTGTGTTGCACGCAGGTACAAACTGTGCAAGAGCTGGCTCGGCTACACGAGGCGTTGGAGTTCTGGGAGGCCGATCAGGGTAGAGTGAAAGCTCTACTTAAACGAAGAGTTAGGCTACTAGAGCCTATCTTGAAAGAGGTAACGTCTACTGCTGTTCATATTGTACGGTTCATAACTCCTCAGATCAACCCGATGGTGTATGTCCAATTCGATCGGCAGCTTTCTTTCGAGATCGCCGACATATACAGGCGACTTGCTGAGGACCTTCTTGAAAAGGATGAGGAAAATCGCGCAGTTGCAGCAGCCTCCAAGCCAGTAAGCGGTTCATATTGCTACCCAAGATCTTTGATAAACTACAATCGTAGACTACATCATGCTGCAGTGAATGTTCGACTGCAGTAGATGAGATACCTAGTTAGGAAGAGCTTCTCGTAGTTCTCAGTGATGGTGGTGCCCTCATTGTTATGAGAAATTGAGTGGAACTCTGTGAATGGCCGACGGCGCTTGTCTCGGTCTTGGATTTTGATTTTGTGAGTATTCTGGCATAATATGGAGAACCTCAGCTCAAAGTGCGTTAAGCCTTCGCGTATGATCTACATAGGATTACATTGCACTGCCGAGTCTGACGGTGATCCGTCTCGAAGATCCTAGTCGAACGTGTTATTCGAGCCCTTCCTAGTGTTACGGTTGATGCTGATGATAACAGTTGTTGGCAACAACTGTGTGTTGGCTAAGGCCGATTCGGGAGCAATCCACATTCGAGTTTGTATACCATGGAAGCAACTCGGGTGAGTCAGACGATCAAGCCTGTAGCTCGCTTTGATTGGGTGAATGCCTTCGTCCCAACGCATCAAGAAAAGGAAGGAAAAGAAGATTATGTATTAGATTTATGTATTACGTATTATGATTATGTATTGAAATGTCGCGATCTCAAGTGCAGGAAGGGTGTGCTCGAGCAGAAAGACTCAGTCTAGATGTGCAGGCTATCAGACGACACGAATCTGGTACGTCAAATGATGTCAAGCATGATTCGTGGGGCTACAAGTAGTGGGGCCGAACGAAGTCTTTCGGTCTTGACTCGCGAGCTCTCCACAAGCCGAAATCGGCTGGACAACGAGCACCTAGAGAGCAACGTTATATCATGTGCGAACAGGTCGCAGCTTCTCGAGCTCGTTTCGCCAGACCAGAACGGTCTGGCTGAGGTAGCTAATGAATGGTTGGCCATGAAAGGCAGAAGAGAGAAGCTCTGCTCGATGCCTATTCGCGATCCAAGTTTTACTGCATGAAGGAATAGTAGCACTGTAGTCGATATCTCCAAGGGCTCAATGGCAATGGTTCACTGGAAGTGACTCACTGCTAGAGAGTCTAGGAAGTATCTACCTGATATGCATTCCTTTTTTGGTGTTATGTACCGTGATTCACGGGCTTAGCATATTATAATAACTGTTTCCCTCCGTGGTAGGTCTTGCCAAGACCGTCTTGGGCCAAGACTCTTGGCAGTTGCGTTCATCAATTCTCGAAGACTCAAAACAAAATTTGTTATATTGTGTCTGCGCCGCTTGCTATCCGGGCCGGATGATCCGGCCCTGCGTGAATTAGCCTCCTGCCCTACTGCTCTCTGACTGTGCCCAACTCGAGATGAGACGCTTAGTCAACAACTTGTTGCGCGAACGCATGCTTCTCGGGGAGTATTCATACTTCTGTAGTTGAGTTCCTCGTCAGGCCCTCGACACTGACCAAGTGAGGAGATACATCCTGAAGTCAGTGAAGAACTTCACTCACTTTATCGAATCATTCTATCCGCCTGCCACTCGAGAAGGCACTGTGAGTGGCTCTCACCCAGAGTGAGTCGATCTTGTAGACTTCGCAACATCC